GGAAGGAGATTGTAGGATGGGGAGGTGTAGTGTGAATCTGATATTGAGTTGTGTATTTGGTGGGGATTGGGAATTTAGAGGGTGAGTGGTGGGGGATGAGGGATGGAGGGTTGATTTATATGTGGGAGTTTGGTTTAGGCTGGATTGGTGGATTGGAGGGGGTGGAAATAGTATCTTGGATGAATAAGTATATATCTTGGATAAATAAACAAATAAATATACTTTTGAGAAATGTATGATGGGATTGGGATGCGGAAATGTGGGTTAAGTATGAATATAGATATATATGTGCATGGGATAAGGAGGATTGAGTGTTGTGAAAACCTCGAGAGGGGGGGACTGGTGGTGTAGTTATGTATCTAGGTAGTTGGGTTGATTTGTGCAATGGTTTTAGGATGTAGGCTCATTGGGTGTAGATGGAAATTTGTGAGAGCAATGACGGTTGGTTGTATACTTGATATGGTGCATCTCCTTTTACTGAAATGCTTTTGTGATTATGTGATGTGAAAGGATAGATGTGAATTGACATCAGATGAGGGCTTCATTTGTACCATTGAGATTCATCTTGGTTGTAGAATGTTTGGTTGTGATCTCAGTAATAAGAGTTGGGTAATTCGGAATAACTACTTGTAGCATGTGTGTATTTAATTTAATATAAAATTTCATCAGATCATATGTGATCATTCCATGAACCCCAGTGATACCATAGAGTAATGACGATTCTTAGATGTCATTATAAATCGTCCCATCCCATCCAATCTCATCCATTCATATTATACTTCTAATTCCCTACCAGTCCATACAGATCCGATGCCAGCATCAAAACTCTCCACCTAAATCAAACTTTCCTTCTCCTTACTTCCCTCCCTCCTCCCCTCAAATGTCTTCATCGCCCCATCAATCCCACTAACCCACCTAGCAATCGCCTGCACTCCCACAGGTAAAACTCCCATCCATCCCACCCACCTCGCATACAATGGCATAGCCAACACCGCACTACTGCCCTTATCGATCGTCGCGATGATTTCCCTCGCCACATCAACCGGTTCCAGTACCGGCGCGAAAAAACTATTCGGCGTTACGGTTCCGGAAAACAACGGCGTGCTCAATTGGCCTGGCTCGACTAATACCGTTTTGATATTAGGATAGGCTTTGAGTTCTGCAGTTAGGGAGTGGTGCAGCGCAGTGAGACCAGCTTTGGAAGCACTGTAGTCGCTGAGTTGGGCGGCTCCTAGATGGCCTAGGACGCTGGACATAGTTACGATAGTACCGTGACCGGTGCGGATGAGGCCTGGAAGGAAGGCTTTGAGAGTGTAGAAACTTCCTAGGAGATTTACTTTGAGATTCTGTTCTATTTCATCGAGAGATAGATCCACAAGCGATTTGCCGTTTACAATCGCCGCATTATTGATGAGGATTGTAGGGGTGCCGAGCTAGTTACCATGTATCAGTTTCATGTTATTCTTCAAACAGGCAGGAATACTCACATCTCGTTCAATCTCCACAGCCACTCTAGCAACCTCCTCTCGATTTCCAACATCACACTTATAATAACTCACTCCCCTCGCCTCTCCGCTCTCCAAATCTCTCACATCTAACACCGCAACCGTCGCGCCGCGCATGCCATATACTTCTGCAACTAGCAATCCCAATCCGCTTGCGCCGCCTGTAATCACTATAACTTCTTCCGAAAGATCTACTTCTCGGGCTTTGGAGTATGCGATTTGACGATTGAGGATGGAAAGGAAATATAACATGGTGAGAAGAGAAGCATAGCCAATAGCATACTGAATGGCTTGATGATGCCAGGGCATTGCTTGGGCGCGCATACAAAGGGGGATCATCCAGGCGACGAAAGGGTGCAGAAAAGTTACTTGGAGCACTTTGTGTAGGAGATCTATGCTGAGGGGTTTAGCCCATGGGAGCTCTTCGCCTTGGCGTGGTCGATTCATCATGAGGGAGTTTGGCTGGAAATTTCTGTAGAAGAGAGTTGGGATGATTTTTTGGGAAATCAATGGATGGGATGAAGGGAATGTGAGGGAAGGAGAAGTTCATTCATATAAGTGGCATCATTTTTTGAGGAGTACATATGAGACGAATCTGATGTGAGGAGGAGGAGTGGTTTGTTTCATGAGGCAAGGCTAGATAACCGCCGTGTGTAAATTTGGTCTGTGCATCTCAGCCTTGCGTTTCATGGTGACCCCACTAGTGGACCGAGATGTGTAAATAGAAGTGCTGATCCTACAGGTACCATGTTCATGTTGAAGTTTTGATGGTGTTCAGAAGTAATTGCGAGTGCGTTTTGAAGGAGAGCGCACTGTTCAAAAGTATTGATCACCGTGCAATTATTTTTTGTCTCGTTTAGATTTGTCCCAACGATTATCTAAAGGTCATTGGCTTCCTTTTTCTGTTTTGCCCATTCGTTAAACAACCACGAGTGATGAATACATCCGTATATCTCGTCAAGGGGAGGTGGATGCTGGCTATTGTGACATTGTGTCTCAAGTGAGCAGCGAGAAGCTGTCTCGGCTTTAGTACGCTTGCTATGTACTTTTGATATTTCTTTCTCCTGCTAGCCCGATCTGTTTTAGGAACAGTAGGATCACAGTATATCTTTCCGAGTGATGTGTACTTCTTCTCTTTGTGTCTTGAGTCAAAAGGATCACGCAACCAATAACCCATAGATTGAACTGCGGCTTGTAGTTGCGTTCATCTGATTCTCAACATTTCTGTACCTGACTCGAGCTAAGACAACGAAACACTCTCGTATATCATACTCTTAACATATATGGCAAAAGTTGGAAGATCAAGTCCAGTATCATTGGATATCATCCAGCACATCAAGCAGAGATGATTCTCTCAATTCTCGCCTAAATTTCGGACCAAAGTTTGCTGTTTTGTTGCATATCTGAGATGTATTGCATTGCATCCGTCTTTCTAATGAGCGATACAAGCAATGATTCTAATGATATTCACCTTCTGGTAGCCCGCCTAGAAGCCAATATAGTGGAGAGGCTAGCAGTTATACATTATAAGATATGCAACAAAAGCAAGGATGCAGCTAATGACGTCGTCTAATCACAACGGTAATGTTCTGAAAGTTATCATCTGAAGATTTTCTATCTGATTCGGTTATTACTTCATACGAAGAGCTTAGTATGATTTTCCACTTAGTCAAATAGTTAACACCTGGTTTGCTGCAAATGAAACCTAGGGTCATATCATCTAGAATTAAACCGCCAAGTAAATGCCGCCGTAATGCCCCTCGAAACCAAGTTCTCTTCCCATGATATGATATGATACACGCGCACCCCAACCTTGAAACGACTCTTCCGAGCCTTCCAAACCACGTGGTCTCTACAAGCAGCACAACACATATCCCAGGAAGCCAACCTATCTATATCGTTCTTACTATGACATTAGGATAGTCCCATCTTTCCTCCAATTGGGCTTGCCCTCCGAGCACCTCGCTGTCTCTCAAATAGGCCTAGGCACAACCACAACCCTATCCTTCGCTCCCACATAAATCTTTCTATTAAGCACCTCCTGAAACCGTCTCTTATACAACTTGCGTGCAATACTGCGCGCCAAAAAATTCGTATGAAGCAAAGCAGGAACAGCCGAACACTCATAATCAACTATCTTCTTCTCCCGGCCGAATGTCAGAAGATTGGTAAAATATTCGGTTACTTTCGCAATGATACTTGCGTAACCTTCAAATTTGCAGGGCTCATGACAGATAGTGATTTCGCGAGGTGCGATATTTTTCGCTGCGAGCGTCCAAATTCGGTGTTGGAGTTCGGTGGGAAGACGGGGGAAAGGGTGGAAAGAATGAGGTGGAGCTGGTTGTTCAGGTGCTGAAGAGTCTGAAATTGGGGGAGAGTCTGATCTTGGAGGTGAATACGTAGGTGGAGGATCGTCGGCTGCAGTTTCTTTTCTGGTGGTTATGGTAACGCTCAAGTGCCAGCTACGATCCCTGGTATGATGAGTACGGTGATGTGTAATATGTGGATGATTTATGAAACGAAGGCTAGGTGGCGTTGAAGACGCCATCTTGGTGCATGTGTGGTGTTGGAGAGAGAAGTTTGCTCCTGGGGCTAATATTTGGTATCTTGTAGTGGGTGAATGATGTTAAGTACTTTATGGAATGGCAGCCCCGTGCTACTTTGTTTGCAACACTGCAGGAAACCGCTTTCTTTGCGATCATACCAAACATACCTTCAAAGGTAGAGGAGGAATCTCTGGTTAATTCGTCCATTCATAGTCCGTGATATACAATCTACGGCTCACAAACGACATAAAGTGACAGTATGTTGCTACACCAAAGCCAATACTTCGAAGACTGTAGTACCACTCATCAATAACGGCATCTCAGGTTTACTTGAAAATGTACCAAAGGAGTCAGGAGGTTGAAGAACCAGTTCGCCGAAATATGCAGAATGCCAATCAAAGCCTACATACACCCGTCTATAACCCTCAATGTCACGAAAGAAAGCTTCCAGCAGACTATTCTATCCACGTACTCCCAGTTTCGGCTTGCTAAACATCACTGCAGAATATAGTCAGATATTAAGAGTAGCTAGCTTCCTTGGAAGTCAAGTAGATCGATACATCCTGAGTCAAACATGCGTAGTTTACCAGATGATGTAGCCAGTGTGCCCAACCCAACAAACCTCTCAAACCTCACCTGATGTACTCCCTTCCTTCTTGTCGTCAATTGATTTATATAAACGAAGCTCTTCCTCTTTTCTCCACTGCACACTGCATTTGATCCTTACTTTCCAAGTATTAGAAAAGATGTATATTCCCATTCCTGAAATTGACGATCGTTTGGCCCAAGTAAGATTTATCTTCTTAGTCATGGCCAGCCCAGATTAAAGTGTTCATCATTTCATGGCTCGGTGGCACAACATGTTGATATCAGTGAGTGCTATGCCGATTGGATAAGATGATATTAAATCGCACGTAGATACACATACATTCAAACGCACACTCATTTCAGACCAATAAATGTTCTTTGAGATTACGTTCCCATTTAACCATTTCTATGTTCAGTTCTATGCTTTTAATTTATATGCAACTCTAGACGCCTAACCCAGCACTTGGTTCGTCAAGACGTTCAATGGAAATCTACCAAAGATCGAGTGTTTGTATATATCTAATTTTCTTCCGTGCCATATGAACAAGAATGGAAAACTTTGAATAGCCCGCAGTGCGGTTTAGGGGTATAGCAATTGTATATGAGCCATGGTTTGCAATGCGCCAAGCGAGTACTCTACCAATGTACTCCCCTCCAATGCCCGAACTCCTGAATGCAGTGCCCCTAACGGAAAATAGCCAATCTTCAGTCTAATCATAATTAAACAATACAGAAATGCTCTCTCCATGGTGAACACGACGAATTGCCTCGGCGAAGACCGGGCCAACTTCCAAGACCTCTAACTTAGAGCAGAGACGTTGATGTTCATCTTGTGGAACACTATTGGTCACGATAATTTTGTCCAGTGCAGATGCATTGATACGCTCAATAGCATCACCACTGAAAACTCCATGGGTTATCAAAGCGTAAACGTAAGTGGCACCCTCTTTCTTAAGCAATTTGGCAGCTCTTGTAATGGTGTTCGATGTATCGGCCAAATCGTCGACGAGTATAGCAACTTTATCACGAACATTGCCCACAAGCATCATTGTAGCATTTTGGCGATCGGTAATTCGGGTAGGTCGACGTTCCTAATTGATATGAGTGTGCGCAGGGAGTAGAATTGGGGGAAGTTTTACCTTATGAATCAATGCAAACTCCATATTGAGTCCATCGGCAATCGCAGTTGCTCTTTTTGCTCCACCAGCGTCAGGACTTACGACGATAGCATCCTGAAAGTTCGGAATGTTTTGCTGGATGTATCTCTTCAAGAGAGGCTTGCCATACAGATTATCCACTGGAATGTCAAAGAATCCTTGGTATTGGGGATCGTGGAGATCCATAGTGATTACCTGATCGGCACCAGAGCAAGTCAAAAGGTCTGCGACGAGTGTGCCAGCTTGCGCTACCCACTGTTTGTATCCTGGCTTGCCTTGGAAAAGAGTTTTGCTTTGACCATTGACAAAACCAGGGTTCTCGTAATCGTGAGTGGTGAAATGTGGAGTTGACACGGGAGTTGATGCTCCGTCAGCCAAGCGTCCATTGGTCAGAGAAGCAATGGAATCCGTAGTATCTTGTCGTCTGGGTGTTATTCCATTTGAAGTTTGGGTATTAATCTGCTCGAGAGATGCTTTTCCAAGCTTCTTCTGTAATTTTTCCATACCATTAGTGCCATTGCTGAGGCCTGGTGTTTGAGGGGAGGAAGGACCCGGTGTTGCTGGTCGACTTTCGAAAGTAAAGTTGCCCTTAACGTCGGCGGGCCCCTTGGCAAGTGGTGCGCCAATCTTATTGTATGGAAGATCGGGCTGTCTTGAGTAAGGAAACAAAGGAAGGACGACGGTGACACGCTTGGCAGATCCAGTTTTGCATGCGGAAATCATAATGCAAAGATCTATGAAATGATCATTGGCCTTTCCTCCGCCCGATTGAATGATATAAACATCTTTGCCTCGAACTGAGTCTTGGATCTCGAGACGACTCTCACCAACGGAAAATTTCTTAAGAATTCTGTTGCAGGGTGGAACACCGAGCGTATTACAGATGATCTCTGTTATCTGAGGATGGGAGTTTCCTCCGAGAACAACCAGATTACGAACCATATCTTCTGATATATGGCAAGAAGTTTGAGGTAGTTGCGATATGGTGATGATGGTAATGATGATTGAGATTTTTGTTGTAAGGTTTGAATTGAAATGCGGGATTAACTTTTTTGTGAGGGGTTTCGTAGCCGCGTCAAATCTGGGGCGGTCTAAGGGCTTTGAAAGAAAGAAGAGAGAATTGGATCGAACAGGAATTCCAGGCAATAAATGGCAGATGATGAACCTTTTATAGATCTAGCAAATGCGATAAGGTATCGTCCCTTTTTCCCCAAGATGGAGGTTTTATGATTTCCAATTGATTTCAAGAGTTCCTGTCGATAGATCGAATTGATATGAATTGCACATAAACCAAATATAAAAAAACCTCTCACAAGCAAAAGTTTTGAATCACACAAGAGGGAAAGAAAAAAAAAGATTCATTCGGTCAGATCTGGTGACGGCCTTAGCCTATTAGAGTTAAGCAATTAAACCCCATTGAGACCCCGCAGCACGAGGCTGAACTCGCTTAAAATGTTTTGCATGAGATAGTCAACTCTGGAAATTATTTCTCCTCAAGGCTGAAGATTGTGATCCAACAATCAACGCCTGTTTACGAAGAGCCACATAATACAACGTCTTGGGAGTACTAGGTGACGTCTAGCTGCCAGTTACAACACGCTAGTACGCCAGGGATATCAAACAGCCATGAAGATTCTAGAAGCACAATCCGCGACCCTGAGCAATTTTGAGGTTTACACTCATCTGAAGGACATTCAAAAAAAACACCGCACAGGAGGAAGGAGACCAGGAAATCTTGACAATGTTATCAAAGAGGTAGCACCTTGCTTCGTTGTGACTCGTCAATTTCAAACTGATCTTTTTGTAGTTAATGCAATACCTCGAGGAAGCACCTTCACCTTTCGCGCAAAAGCCATGCCCATACAATGAGGATACAATTCGAAATCTCCTTGAACAGCTTCGTCCCTATGACTTGACCAAAGCCGAAATCCTTATGATTATCAATCATCGACCGACATCAATGGAGAATTTGAATATCATTGTTGAAGAATTGGAGTTGAGATTTCCAGATGAAAATGAACAATGGGGAATTATAGATGTTGTCAAAGACGTGCTAGGTGCACAGGATGCTGAAGAAATGAAGCAGACTATGGCAGATAATACCGAAGCCGCCAAAAAGGACGAACAGAAAAGATTGGAAGATGAAGAGAGGCAGTACAAGGCGCTTGTGGACCAATCGTGAGTGTATAGGAATGGCAGGTAACGCTCTTCGTGTTTGCAGATTTAGGTCAATCCTGAACACCCCCTGTACAACGGACTATATGCGAATCGGCCAATGTGTGCATTTTAGAAATACGTTCAGAGGCTTATTCGAACGACTCGCCCCGAACGAAGTTCTAGCTCCACTATGTCGACGTATAAGACGATCTGGCTGTCCAAGAAGAGGAAACATGGCAAATCGATACGCTTCCGATTAATTTCAGACTATGGAGGCTGTCCACCTTTGGTTTTAAAAATGGGACAAACCGGTAGGCGTTCGTGGCGTAAAGGTGTCTAAAATCCCTCATGTCCGGTTTCATATCGGTCATGCGATGCGGCATTAAATGTCAATAATGACCGGCAACATAGCTGTGGTGAAAACCACAAAAGCCACTACATTTTGAATGAAAACAAATAATTCAAAAAAAGAGCATTCAGAGTTCAAAGTGAAGTAGACGATAATCGCTGTACTGTACATCAAGATTCCAAGTGGAACCCAGCAACTTCCTGTTCAAACCAAGTACCACCTTCCTTAAACTGGATATTGACGGCTCGGTCTTCCTAAACCCGCCTGTCTAGGATAGCACCAATGTGTGAACGCGAAAACCCATCCACAACGCAATCACTTTTTTTGTTTCCCCCCTCTCATACTGCCCCCACTGCCAAACTTCCTCTCAAGAATCACCATATAAAAGAGCAAAAGCGAACCAGGCGTGGATTTTCCTCTCGTACCACAGTTTTATAACACGGTAGAGGCTACTCCTATGGGCCAGGTAGCTTTTTATTCAATCATATCCTACTATCGATGTAGTTGAGGGTATTATGAAATGTGATTTGAGAGAACATCTAAGTAAGAATATTGGAATAAATATTTCATTGTCACAAGTTCTTTTACTATCAATACGAATCCTGTCATTCGGCTATTTTACGATATCATGACAAGAAGTGTACACAATGGCAATGCAAACTTAGAATACTCATCTTCCACAATCTCTCGTAGTAGTGACCTTGTTCCAATATCTGCGCATTGGCTTGGATTATAATATTTTGATTTCACACTCTGTTTACCATGAGAAAGGTTCAGATTTGACATTATTAGCATTGATGAATGTGCGATCTGTCACCACATACTAAGTGGTTTATATACTGAACAATTTCATCATCTAGCTTCCACAGCGGGGAAAGGCATAGGATAGTGGCTTCTAGTCTCGGGCTCTGTCTTGGAAGATAAAAAGTGATCGTACCAGGAAAGACAAGGACTTGGTTCTGCCACTACACCAAGCTAGCATTTAGCTGTATGAAACCAATTCAACTCCTATCTTAGAAAATAAAAGGGCTTTAGCGTTCATTCGTTATCACAAACGGAAGCAATACCGCGCGTATATCGAAGTTTTTTGTAATAAACAGGTCAACTTCGGACGTATGTGTTGGCGTTATACCATAATATCAACGTTTGCCAATCAGTGTCACCTGTCATCAAAGCCTCTTCGTTGTCACTTCTTATCTGTCGGTCGTCACCACCATCGTCATCTTACATTGACTTCCGTAGCCTACACTGACGTTGAATAAGTCTAATTGCCGTCATCTACTTGTTGGATGTCCAATCCAACCCAGTTTTTGCTGTATCCAACGGTAGCATTCTGGTTACAACAAAACGACAATTTTGGTCAGCGTGCAGATTGACACAATTCTATTCACTACACAGGGAGTGAGCTTAGTAATTGAAGACACGCCTTTATATACATTTGGATCAATCTCGAAATTTACCGTTGAGTCATCGAAGCATTGACTCTCTGTTTCCTCTACCCACTGAGCATGTGTCTAATCATAGGTTGCACCATTACTGTCACCCTTCGCCTCACTTTATTTCAATGGACACCAAAAAGTATAGTTGTCGTCTTCATTTGTTCCCGCGCATTTTCTCCCTAGAAGTTGGGGTGTTTCTAGTCCAAATAGTTCTGAACAGTTTGTACATCATCTATACAATAGCTGATAACTTAAACTCAAAGTTTAGGCTTACTCGGTTCCATCTCTGTTTTCTTTAATTTCTGGGCCAATTCTTCAATTGTCGCCGGAGGCTTAGTATCAACTGGTTTCCACCATGGCCAGACACTTGGTGCATTCTCTTGCATGTTATCCCTGAACTCTGGGTTTCTCTTTCCATAAAGCCTAACATATATCAATTAGCATGGCCCCAAAATTATGTCTAGGAAAAATGAACCACATACTCTTGATTCCCTCATTCTTATCCCCCGATCTGAACAACTCCAGCAAAATCTTACTGTCCAAAAGATGTGTTTCTTCCGCCGTTTCCGGCCCTTTCCACATCAGATCTCTCATAACTGCAGTTGAAACCGCACTTGTATTTTGAGCTATATCATTTGCGAGTTCCAATGCACGTGGAAGAACTTGTTCTGGGGGTACGATCTCGGAGAATAGAGAAGAGAGGAGAGGGGATGTTGAGGGGTATATTGAACCAGTTGTCGTGAGGTGCATAGCGCGGGAGAGACCGATAAGACGGGGGAGGAAGTAGGAGGAACATGCTTCCATTATGATACCACGGCGGGCAAATACGAATCCGATTTTTGCTGTAGAAGAAACAATACGGATTGAAGTTGGGAGTGTCACTGGGGTGGATTAGAAAATCTTTCTTGTGTAGAAACGAAATTGGAATGGGAATTAGGTATCTGACGGGGGGTGGGTTTTATGCTTACCGGTTATGCCTACACCGACAGCCGAGCCACGAAGGTGTTAGTTATGTTCAAAAGACATCAAACGAGGCGAACGTGGTTGTTTCACTCACCCATTGATAGCTGCAATTGTAGGTTTAGTACATCTATGAATAGCTAGTGCTACCTAATAAATGGGATTAGTCCAAAAAAATCTGTACTAAAGAATGCGGCAAGTTGAACACTCCTCCAAAACGAGAAAGAATAAATCACACACCTTCCCACCACCATCCCGATGCGTCAACGCCGTATCATTTTCATACGACAATCCGGCTTCCAAATCGGCTCCAGCACAAAACATCTTTCCATGACCAGTCATAACAATACATTTTACTCTAGGATCAAGCGACAAAAGATTGAAAGCTGTTTCAAGTTCTCCAGCCATGGTATCTGTGAATGCATTGTGTTTTTCTGGTCGATATAGTGTGATTAGAATAGTTGGAGTTGGAATGGGTGAGGACTCGGGTATATGAGAGACGCGGATATGTTGGAAAGGAACGGTTGAATAGGAGGTTGGAAGTGAGGGAGTCATGTTCGCTTGTCTGACTCTACTTGAAGGTTTGATGTGGTGATGTGATTAGAACTCGATTTTCATCATTATCACACTTTGATACTTTGAAAACCCGTAGCGCGAGAAGTTCGCAAGTACTTTTGTATTCAAGTTTAGAATGTATATGAGGAGTAGTCGGTGTCTCCTGAACCACTAAAATCAAAAATATGTGAAGCAAGATGAAGAGAAATTTCTTGAATCTAGAGCAATAACGATGTTGCAGTAACTACATAGTAGCTATCAAAAAAAGTGCTCAAAATAGTCATTCAGCTCGCGAACAGTATGTAGAATCTCGAGATGCCGAGGATAATTAGATCTTGTGCGGGGTCACCGGGAGCCCTTGCTCGTGGCACGTGAGAAAGCTGTTCATGATCGACAACTCAAAATCTACTAACAAAAGATATATAATTCATTAGATATGGTAAAGATCCCTTTTTGCTCCCCTTGAAGATACATATCGAGCAGTTGTGTAGCACATATCCATATTCATATTCTATGCTCTCTTTTCAAGTATTATGACGTCACAATTGTCAATACCTTGAGTAAAAACTAGAAAGAGAGTAGATGGCTCTTGCGAATATGGCTTGAAAAAGAACTAATTGTCTCCAATAGAGTGAAACTTGCGAGGTGTAATTGGTTGGCTTACAGGAAATATAGGAATTATGTTGGATTGAAAAGCCACGGCGATGAAGGCAAATCAGTCTTATTCCCCGCCATCTTTGTATTACCTCCACCATCCCCCCACCTTCCTAATTCCAACAACAGCTATTCATAAAATAACTTCAACATCAGATTCAAAGTCAAACACTACATCGTTTCTATCAAAATATAGCTACTTGATCCGATAATTGAAAACTTAGGAAACAAATTATACACGATGCCCCAAAAAGAAGCTGTTTCGACCGACAAGGCACCACCGCCATTGCCCTTCTTCTCCCAAGCCATCAAATGTCAAGGAATGGTCTATTGCTCCGGTAGCATTGGGATGGATGTTGCTACAATGAAGCTTGTCGAAGGAGGTGTTGCTGATCGAACCGTATGTCTCAATTCCAATCTACAGATTCCAAGGCCAACGTTATTGAGTAACAAATCTAGAAACAAGCAATTTTGAACCTCCAGGCGGTTTTGGAGGCCGCTGGCAGTAGTCTTGAAAACGTTGTCAAAGTCAACGTCTTCCTGACCGACATGCAGAATTTTGCAGCCATGAACAAAGTCTATGCAGAATTCTTCCATAAGGATCCCAAGCCAGTCAGGACTTGCGTTGCGGTACACCAATTGCCACTCGGGACTGATGTGGAAATTGAATGTACAGCTCACCAGTAAGGTAATACCTTTTGGTAATGGTACTTAAAAATGATTGCTAATACAGAACTTCTAGGGGAGAAGAATTCTTGTCGTCAACAAATTTGCTATCAAGGCCAAATCTTATGACCAAGGATTGGTAGTAAGATGTCAGGGAGCCGAACTCTTGATTACAATACCACAAATATTTTAAATCAAAGCGATTTACAATTGTTTAACTCCTTGCAGCGCTTTCAATTATATCGCTTGACTTGATTCAGAACAAAAAGAGGTGATTGCTTCCAGCTTTTATTTCCTTTGTATGGCCGGCATTCTTCGTTTCTTTGAAGAAAGCTTCCTGATTGTCCTTCATTTTCTTTTCTTTTGTTACATACAAACCTCAATCAACGTTGCAACATTGCAAGATCGTGAAATTTCAATCTAAATGCTATACATATTGTAATTGTTTAATCATCTTCATCATTATGTCGTTCTCACGAAATCGAACCAACTTCAACCTGCTTGATGATGTGGACGACGAGGACAGACTTCCTGGCGAGGACGACAAAAGTGTTTTGTTTCAAACAACAGGAACAACTCTCCGTAATGCACCGCGACTAGTTGGCAGCCAAATCGTCAACCAAGATTTAATCCAAGAACGAAGAAATAAAGCCCTAGAAGCATTGTTAGCGGTGCGAGAGGAGGGTGATAAAACGAAAGGGCTAACACTGCTCAATAGCCTAACCAGCAGTCCCGTCACAGACATCATCCCTGCAAGTGCAGCATCCCAAGCAGTGGAAAAGTCTGAAGTTCTTCCTCCGGTGGCAAAAGAGGCATTGGCCGAAGCTGACAGCCCAAATGTAACGAATCAAGTGCCGGCCAGGGGACGGAGGTGGTTTGGAAAAGCCCAGGCACAACCTACTACTATGGCCGACTTCAAACGCTTTATGCCCCTTCAACTTGAGTATCCTCCGCATCCAGCTGGAGATCGCAGTAATGCATGGTTTAAGGATGAATATGCCAATTTGTTTTTAGCGATAGTCAGGTTTGCTACAGAGTTTTTTGGGTTTCAAGAATTACAGGAAGGGTTTCACGAACCCTGGGCTATTAAGATGCCGGAGGAGTTTTACAGATACGTGGAACTTGTTGCTGAGCCAGATGCTGTAGTTGGAGGATGGGATGAGATGTTGCTCGATACGAGTACAAGAAAATATCTCATTGTCGGTATTATTGTAAAGATATTAGAGGCCAGGGTTTTTTCGTTAGTTCTATGGGGAAACACTAAAGAGGGGGAAGAATTTCTTCATGGTTTAGATCGTGCACTTCTCGATGGTGAAGGTATGATACTCCAAGGATCAGCAGATGAAAACTTTGATTACGATCCAAACTGACAGCTTTTACTCTGTAGGCTACAGTCGTCAGGACCTCCGCCACAGATCTATTCGCACTCTCTTGGGCGGAGCATCTCTAACCCCCAATTTTCACAAGGATTGCACAAAATTGACCGCCCAAGTACTACTCCTCTTCATGCCTCTCTTCAACTACCTCACGCTTCTTCCTGCCGGTCCCGAAACTGTCACCCCCAAAGCTACAGCCCTATACCAAGCCCTCCACAACATATTCTCCAGCGCCGCTTACCTATCCATCTGCATCCGCATCTCCCCAACCATAATCCACACCGTCTCTCTCCTCCCCGGCACCGCCTACAAACCCGACGAACACACGTCCATTCGCCAAAACTCCTGGACCTTATCCAAAACCGTCGTTCAAAACAACTGGAACCGAGATCATGAAGAATTGGAAATCGAACGCGCGAAAGCAGAGGGCTATGTGCTCGGCTACAGGAATGCAGGCAAGGCACGCCTTGAATCAAACGCCGGTTAAGAGCTCTTCGTCGCCTTCAAGATGTGCAAAAGAAACTGGCAGATCATAACCCTCCTGGTTTTACGCACGAGGCAGGGGTCAAAATTGCAATCTGGCCCGTCACGAAGAGATACTGGGCGGGAAATTCAAAGCCGGGTGGTGATATGGATGGTCAGAGCGTGTTTGACGTCACAACTGCGGGAGCGGTATTTTACTACAAAGAAAAAGGTAAACCCGTCGAACCACTTCTGGATTTCGTGGCAGAGAAAAAAAAGAAATTGGGTGGGAGATATAAGGGAGTTAAGGATCTTTTGGCCGTTTTGGCTCTGTTATCCCTGGGTGCATTGCTGGTTCTCTTGTATGTGGTTGGATGGGCAGCGTTGGTCGCTTGGCTTACAGGTTTTCTCGCTGCGATTACGAAATCCTTGAGAGAGTCGGTGGTGAGGGGAAGAGAAACGGCGGTTAGTGCTTACGAATACACTGGATCACCTGGCTCCGACTGGTTCGGGAAAAGAAGAGAACACCCGATTCCGGATTATCAAACAGCATATTCAGATGCAAAGGAAGGTGTCAGAGGAGAGTTTCAAAAAGGTGCTTCGAAGGTGGAGGATCTAGCTGGTGATGCATATGAAAGAGTAACAGCCAAAGCTAAAGATGGCGCGAAAGGTGGCTATGATGCGTACGAAGCCCGGAAAGCACAAGCGGAAGACGTCATTGAGAATGCATCTTCAAAAGCCAAAAGTGCAGGCAGAGTATACCAGAAAGCGACGGATAATGCGAGAGAGGCGGCCGGAAGTTCCGGCGAGAAAATCGCATCGAAAGCTAAAAGCGCAGCGGGAAGCGCGAAGGGGAAAATGACATCAAAAGCTAAAAGCGCAGCGGGAGCCCCTGCGGAGAAAATCACAGCGAAGGCGAAGAGTGCAGCGAAACTGACGGTAGAGAGGGTTACGTCGAGGGTTAAGCATGCACCGGGGGGAGCGTCTAGAGTGCCGGTGCCGGTGAATCGGGGATCGAAGGCGACGGTTCAGACGGTGAAGAAACGGACAAAGGGAGAGGCGTATACGAGAGAGGGGATGAGGAATTTGTGATTATGGAATTTGTGTTTTTTTCTCTCTCTGTTGGTCTGGTTTGGTTCTTTTGTTGTAGGTGATTGATTGGTTAGTTAGTTGGTTGGTTAGTTTATCGAGTATGCATGTATTTGGCTTACAGATTGTATATGGTATATTTTGTAATCTTACTATTGCTTGAGTATCTATCTATCTATCTAGGTGTAAAACTATAAATTACCTAGCAGTTTCTTCAATATCTATAAAGTACAACTAACACACTCTCCAAGTTCCGTTCAAAATCTCACCATTCACAATAACCTTACCACCGAAATATAACATTTCAATACCCCCCCCCCCCCCCCCCCTTCCCTCTAATATTTCGAAATCCATACGATATGTTAGTTACTATTGAAAACTACGAGATACCTCGATATACAATTACCTCACATACTCCTATTCATTACCTACCTATCTACCTTGTAAGAAGTATTCTGATGACGTCACAGTTCCCAAACTAGCCAAATATGTGTATACGGTGGCAGGGAGGAGGACGAGAGAGAGAAACTCTGAATTAAAATAATGTAGATACGACTATATCGGGCTTGTATCACAATAACTCCTCACAAAAAGATTGAATACACTCCATAAAACAATCATCTCTTATTTCGTCATGGGAGAATACTAGATACGTCATTCATAGCGTGCATAAAATCAATCATTAAACTGACAAGACAAGACTTGAAATGGTTTTAAATCCATCCACTATAGCTAGGTAGCCCTCTTGAGATTCAAACACGCGAAGCAAATCATCTGACATTTCAGTCCAAGATATAAAGGAGAAACGCCGGCCTTTGAAACTAGCCAATTGGGTATTAAAGTCATGAGCCCTCTAAAACACCATCCCCGTCAAACTCCATTTAATACAAATCCCCTGATCCAAACGCCTTGTATATCAATCATGTCGTATTCGTAAAAGAGTCAGCACAATATCTTCAAGGGCCTGGAGAAGGTCCCGTGAGGTTATTTGAAGGCGCTGGTGCCGACCCGGCCTGTGGTTTCTTTTCTTTCTTTGCCCAGCGAAGTCCGCAGGCGTTGCAGAGCGTTTTGGGACCCTTGGGACCTTTCCGCCATTCTGGTGAATCCATGACACCTTTAAATAATGTTAGCTTTCTGTTCGTACTTTTAGGGAAAGAAAATAAACATGATACATACCACAATCTGCGCAAACATATTCATCTGCTAGCTTCATCTTCTTTTTCTTATCCCCCAGACGGCCATCCTTGTCAATTGGTATGGCAATTCCAACATCGCCTCTGATTAAAGCTGGACTACGGGCGCCAGTGCTAATCCCTTGACTTCTTTCACCATCTCGATATTGTAACCCGGTGAGCATTTCTACAGTATCAACACCCTCATATCGTTGCATTTTATCTTTGATAGAATCGGGTTGTCGACTAGAAATCGCATCCTCAAGATTCGCTTTTGTCAACGTGCTATACGACATATCCGGTCTTGCTGGAGGAGGCATCGCTCGGAAATCAGGATGGCTCGGATCCGCAGGTAGAGATGCGCTCATGCCTGTGGTCATCGTCTCAGATGAGTCTGATGGATGTCGATGCGTCCAGTTCCTTTCACTATCTTCGAATTCTTCTTCCTCTTCTCTCTTGAGATCCCTGATTTTCTTTGACATTCGCTCAAATTCGGTTTTATGTTCCAAGAATGAATCCAGTAGAAGGGCGTTCTTTGTTGGATATTTCCTTGCCATCATGAAAAAGCCTCTGCAATAATCCGCTGTTTCTCTAGGTGGGATATCTGGGTCTGGAATTGGGACAGCTGCTGTTGGCGACGGCCTTGATGCATAATGGGCATGTCCGTGACACTCGAATATTACGTAGGACTCGTCCTTCTTGCGAAATCGAAGGTAGAATCGCAGTTTATTACCCGATGCAATGGCTTCATTGAACTCCCTCACAAACATTGCACTATCATCTGGATGTATGTAATCCACAATAAATTTCCCCTGAAGCTCCTCTGCGGCATATCCAGTGAGACTCTGACAACTAGGCGAAAGAAAAACGAACTTTCCGAAAGGGGTCAAGACGTGCAAAAAGTCCTTGATCTCTTCCACCACCTTTTGTTGCCAATTTCTTCGTCTCGTGAAATCATTGACCGAGCTGTTACTTGTATTGGTTGGTTGGACACCAAAGCCTGCAGGTAAAGGGCCCGCCCCGATTTCTTCAATCTGGGCATCTCCATCATTTGTTCCTCCCCTTCTCCCATCATCGGCGTGTTCATTTCCGACGGGCGACATCATGTTCAGTGAGGTAAAAGATTTTGGAATGTTGCCATTGTCGCCAAGGGTATTCATATCCATATTCATATCGGGTAGACCATCAAAGTCCATCATTAAATTATCCTGTAGCATCTCCGACATTAATGTATCGGGTAAATTTTGATCGACCTAGATTTGGGATCATGCATAGTTAGCATACTGAAAATGGATGCCATGAGGATTTTCCAAAAAAAAAAAAAAAAAAAGATGTAAGAAAGGCTAGAAAGGACTAAGAGATTTCGGAAAATTGAAGGTTTTCGTACCTGCGAGGCTGACAGTGTCCGATCTATGGATCCGAGGTTGGCTGCATGATGATGTTGTTGCAAGTAATCGGTAGGATCCAGGTTCAAATTATTCATATTCATAGATGTATCCCCCTCGGACATTTTCGAACTCTAATTATGCTGTGAGCGTAAAGAAGAGGATTTATTTGTATGTGTCTCTGTCTCTGTCTCTGTGTGCGCATTTGGATCCGAGGCAGATAGGTAGTGAGGACGCGAAGGATCTCAGTAGGACGGTGGGTAGGTAGGTAGGTATAAGTTTATCGTGAAGGGTAGAAAGTAAATTGTGGTGCTGAGATATGACGCCCTCGAGGCTTTGCTTTGTCGGGAAGTCTGGATTTTTAGAGAGGGGAAGAAATTTTCCCCCGAGATTTGGAGTTCAAGTTCAAGACGAGACGAGTCGAATCGAGTGGAATTAATAATGAAATGAATTGATGATAGCTAGGTAGGTAGGTAATATCAGGTACCGTTACTACTACCACCCTATTTAGATATTTGGAGAATTAAGGATTTAAGGATTTAAGTATTTCAGTATTTGAGTATCTGAGTATTTGAGTCTCTGAGTCTCTGAGTATTGGAGTACCTTTTCAATGACGAAATATAAGGCGGGAAAATGGGGAATGGAGAAACATGGCAATTGTGAAAATGTGATGTTTTTTGTTGTTGTTTTCTTTAGAGTGAAGGACGGTTAGTATGCCTGGTATGTAGGTCATCCAAGATCTGTGTGGTATGGACAAGATGTGGGATTTTCGATTCTAGATGTAAGATGTCGTATGTCGGATGTCGGATGTCGATGTCGGATGTCCTTATGGAAGAAGAGAAATAGATGTGAGGGAAGGCGTATGGTCAAAGGTGCTATTATCAAATGCGCAGGGTCATATCCAGAACGATAGCTATAGCATACACATCTATAAATAAGAGACAAAAGAAAGGAAGTTTCGGATTGATTAATCAATTGTTCTCAGGACAAGGTATCATGGATGAATCGAGAGATATGTTGCGTCTTGGTTAAACATTACCAAGATGATTGCTTTGTTTTATTCTATGAGGATAAAATTGAATATAATATGATATACCGGTATACTAGGTATACATATATATATTGATCGGTATGTGGAATAAACATCTTCAGAACAAGAGTATTACCTAGGTAGATATTATATCAACTTGTAGTAGAACTTTTAATTATACTCGAATGTCTATCTAGATAACATGGTTTATCACCGAGTGGGCCATATCACCGAGTGAGCCACTTTCACCTTAATTCGCACTCTTTATATTCAACATATGTTTTATTAATCATTTATTATGAAATCTATAAATAAAGAAGTATATTTACTTTTAGCTATCGAAGCTCTTCAAAAAGATAAAAATTAAGTATTCGAAAGGTTGCTAAACTATATAATATACCTCGCACAATGATTAGTTATAGAATGAATAATTTAACTCTATATATAGAGATTTGAGCGAATTGCTATAAAATTATAGAATTGGAAGAGGATATGATTATTGAATATATATTTGATATAGATTCAAGAGGATTTCTATCTAATATCAAGAATATAAAAGATATGGCGAATTATATTTTTGAATCGAGAAATTCGAAATATATTGGAAAGCTTTGAGTATATCGATTCATATAATATCGAATCGAATTAAAGATACATTTTAGTTGTATTTATGATTTTCAAAAAACTCTTTGCAAAGATCCTAAGCTTATGAAAATTGGTTTTGAATGATTATGAATATATGTTTTTAAGTATGACTCTCTATAGGGAATAAGATGGGAAGCATAGGATAGAAAGTAATGGCATTAAAAGGACTAATATACTAAATATATTCTTCCACTTCTAAGAGAAAAAGCTCTGTATAGGATAGAGCTCTTATTAGTACTAATTGAGACTAGCTCCCCCTATTCCATAATTACATAAACTACACCTTTTAACACTCCTCTTTGGATTAATTGTAATAATCTGTTATTCCCAGCATTTCTATAAATTTCTTGAATATATTTTTGATTAGTAGTTTCATCAATCTATCTGCTATCATTTTATTTATAGAAATATAATTAATATCAATCTTTCCTTTTTACTTAAAATCCTGTATATAGTGGTATGCAATATTAATATACTTTGATCTATCAATTAGTTATATATTTTTGATTAGGGCTATAGCCCCTTAATTATCTTTCTTCATATCAATAATAAATCTATTTTCTGTAACAAACTTTCTGTATCCTATATCTCGAAGTATTTGGGCTAATTACTAGCTTTGTTTTGCTATAATTGATTGAGCTATATATTTTGATTTAATTGTTAACATTGATATGAAGTTCTGTTTTCGATTTATCCAGAATATTAGTCCTTCTTCCAAAAGTGCGATTACTTTTGATATGCTTTTTTTATCAATCATATTGTTAATGTAGTTTGTATTAAAATAGATTATTAGATTTTGAACTCCCTCTGGTTCGAAATACAGCTTATAATTAATCGTTGTTTGTAAATAGTATATTATTCTTTGTAATTGATTTATATAAAACTTTATTGGATTTTTTATATATTGACTAAGCTTTTTTAGACTAAAAGCTATATCAGATCTTGAATATACCATTATATACATCAACTTCCCGATTATATAGCTATATTTAATAGGATCTACTCATTTGTTATCCTTTCGAACTAATCGAAATACTTTATAATTATTTATTAGTATTGAAATAAGTCTAAATATTCTTTTTGTAAATCTGTATTTACTTAATACTTTCTTGAAATACTATTTTTGATTGATATATAAAGTCCTATTCTTTTTATCTCTAATAATTCTTATACCTAAAAGCTTTGAGTTTGTCACGGTGTGGATACACGTGACCGATAAGCGATAAGCTAGGCCCTGTTAGGCTAGCTTATAAGTGAAAATTCCTGTATATCTTTATGTTGGAAGATCCTGTATCGTAGCTCTTCGAGCTATATCTTAGTCTATACCCTGTACCTACTATTCTAGTACTATCGAATATAGATTCCTGATCCCGTCTGTTTGTCCCGTAATACTATATAGCTCCTACCAATACTATTGCAATAATAATACCAACTCTGTATCCGCCTAGTTACTCAAAGGATGCCTCTGAGCTTAGTATAGTTGTAATAGAGAACCCTTAAGCTTAGTACTAGTACCTTCAGTCAGCAGCTATGTATACTATCGGATTAGAAGAAACCAATCTATCCCTTGAATACAAGGTTCGAGAAGCATCTATTGAGAGATATATTGAAATCTCCCTATACAAACAGATCGCCATACAGAATATCCGTCTGCTCAATCGCCTTGCCGAATCTATACCTATTCCTGTTATACCCTTTGAAATAACATCTGCTAAATCTGCCCTCGAATCGTCTGATATTACTATACCCATCCTATCTATTACTATCTATTTAAATAAATGCATTCCTGATTCTAAAGATTTGATAATTCCCAATCCGATTTGTAAAGATTCGTTTAATAGATATATACAAAGATAAGCTCGAACTTCAATCGTTTTCTTATTGCCTCCATTTACCTAACTTATATTACTAAAAGACTTATTGAAAAAGCTTACAAACTAATCTTTCCCAAGATTATTTATAGTATTTCACAATTTACTAACTATAGTCTATTTTTGAAATACTTAGAAAACACTTTTGAAAATCCTGATCACAAACAGAATATCTAGAATCAATTATATCTGCTCAAATAAAAACATCTCGATTTCAATACCTACTTTGCTAAATTCCAAAAACTAGTTTTAAAAACAAGATGCCTGATAACACCCTGATCCTATTATTATTTCAAGGAATCTCCTGAGAACTACAAGATATACTGCTTTACAATCTGCTTTTGTTCTATAATTTCCAGAAATACTTCACTTATCTATAACAACTCAATAATCGGTTCTATTAGCACCAGCAATAAATCTCTCAGAACTATTCTACCGCTTCTATCTCCACTAGGAGAAAGACTCCTGTTCTATCATTCGAATCTACCTATAACCCCGTAATCCAACCTTTTTACACAAGCAAAGCCGCTTTTCCGTCTGCTCAAAGAAAAGATCCTATGAATCTCAGTTCCCAATATTGTATTACTGATAATGATTTGTTCTAAAAGAAACAAGGAGAATATTACTACTATAGCTCTATCAATCACTTGATTCAAAATTACCCATATCCTGATACCCACCCTATCCAACTCAGAATTAGGATTTCCAATCCACCTAGATACAATCCTGCTCCGAGAAGTCTACTAAGGGACAAAATATCCATCCAATCCTTGCCTTACTCCTTACTACAATTACCGCCCCACTTTCCGGCTAGCTCATCCAGATTGGGAAATAGGACTCGCTTAGTTTAAATCGCTACCAAAGCGATTTTTCTATATAAACTCTGTCTGTCTGCTACTGTTACCCAAGGATTGTTCTTGAAAGATGAATTGAATAATTGTATAGATTTAATAATCCTATCTATTCCCCTATTCCTAGAGAAAGAAACTCTTTCAATCTATACTATAATGAATAATGGTTGTAAAGGGATTGTCTTCGCTAATTGAAGTTGGGTGCTTATCCCAGAAAATCCCTAAATATAAATTATCTACTGTCTTCAAAGTCATTAAATTCGATAGCAAATTCTATCTGAAAACCGGGTCATATTTTATATCCATATTAGACTTAGGATCAATGATTATATTGAGAAGAGAGTTATCTATATATAACTGAACTAGCCTATTACCCTATAGTATTAGGTATAGCCTGACTTAAAAAGCACAACCCCTATATCAACTTTATAATAAACTCCTTCCAATTCGATAGTCTATATTACTATAAATTCTGCAAACACTCCATCCCACCTGTTTTGAATAAAAGCTCTTCCCAATGTTCCTCCGAAAGCCCAATCTATACACCTGCCCGATCGCTCTGAAGGCCTCAAGGATCGAGATATAGCCGTGATCTCCCTAAGGGCTTGTTCTGTATACGCCTACCGGAGTATAAAATGTTCCAGATCTCCGTTAAACAGATTGATGACATTCTGAAAAGAAGAACGAGTTCGATTTGAATAATCTCCTACCCGAGTTCCGAAATTGGAAAGATGTATTTTCCCTATAGAACACTGACAAGCTATTACCACATCGACTGTATAATTATAAAATCCGATTCTAAGAGAAATCTGTATTGCTTTTTGGAGCTTTATATACTATATCCCAAACCAAACTCGAAGCTCTGAAAGGATAGCTAGAGGAAAACCTGAAGAAAGGGTTTATTCGTTCCAGCTCTTCCCCTGCTGCATCCCTCATACTGTTTGTCAAGAAAGCCGATGGAGGCCTCTGTTTCTATATCGATTATAGAACCCTGAACAATCTATTTGTAAAAGATCGATATTTACTGCTGTTGATTAAAAAATCCCTGAACAACTTGAAAAGAATGAAGTACTTTAGTAAGATCGATATTATCTCTGTCTTTAACAATATTAGAATCAAGGAAGGACAAGAGTATTTGATTGTATTCTGTATCCAATTCGATTTGTTCGAATTCCTGGTTATACTATTTGGGCTGATAAAAGCATTTACCACATTCTAGAGGTTTATCAACGATTTCCTATATGGATATCTGAATATATTCTGTACTGTATACCTGAATAATATATTGATATATAGTTATATTCAAAAAGAATATATTCGCTATATTCAAAAAATCCTATAAACACTAAAAGAAGCCAACTTATTTGCAAAATTCGAAAAATGCGAATTCCTGAAATCT